TTGTGATTAAAAACATGCAGGTTTGAAGTTGTTAACCAGAAGTTGTCGTATAAACAACTTTTGTATAAAGGTAAATGGTCACTCTGTGAACTTTGCCTCTTGTTAAGATTGGACAGAGTTCAAGATCACTGAAGTGGTGTATTTTCCAAATAAAGCTGTTTGGATAATCACAGTTTTAGCATAGGCAATCCCTCATGCCTGTAGAGTGTATTCTCCACTCTGCTGCCAACGTTACCTCACTAAGTTACTAAGACAAGCTCTTAGCAGGTTACCAGCCTGCTTAGAAACCTTTGATGAGTCTCCATTGCTTGTGTGATGAAGACCAAACTCCTATGGTAGCTTTTAAGGACCTTCCCTTACTTAACCCAGCCTATGTTTCCTTTCTTCTCCTCCAGCCCCATTCTGGCAGACAGAGGCCATTTATTGCCTTTGCTAGCTGATCTTCCAAGACGACCTCATGCACTCTGGTAGTTGACCAGGTCCTCCCTGGGCTGCACCTGCAGAGAGCATCACTTATATTCCTCTTTAGTGTGACCAACAGAATCTGTTTTAGTAGTTCCCCTCATTCCCTTTTATACCTTCTAGGGAACTGGTTCCAAGTCTAGCTGAGCATCCGGGTCTCCCATGTATTTTGATATAAACACAGTTCCTGAATCCCACATCAGATGAGGGTCTCTGAGAGTAGGGCCCAAGAAACCTATGAATTTGAAACAGTTTTCTAGATAATTGGGATTGGTAGGCATGCTTAGGATTACTACTCTAGGGTGAGCTAGGAATTTTCCATGGTGACAGACAGAACACAGAAGAATGGAGGAGATGAGAGCTCAGACACATCAAGGGTCCCCCTGTACCAAGTCCTGTGCTAGGAAACATTACACCTGATAATCTATCCAACCATCTGGAAAGGCACAATGCTAGGTTCATTGCTACCCCCAGGAACCTGAAGCCCAGGAGGCTAGGCACCATACACAGTCCTCACTGGTTAGTAAATTTGGTTGTTAATAGAACCAGTTCAGCAGCTTTTAGATTTCATATTCTTTTTATTTAGCTCACGTTAAATAAGTGTTGGTTAAGATAAATGAACACCTGTATTTTTAGATGTTTTGTGTCTCACTATATCCAACCAATCTGCAAGACCCATGCATTCTATTTGCTCATGTCCTTTATCATGGTGACCACAGAAGTTACCTTCTATTCATCTCCAAGCCATCTCTTAAATCCATTTTCCCAGCTGCAGCCAAATGATCATTTAAAATTGAAAAGCTGCCAAAGCTACTCTGCTCATGGTCCATTTCGCCACATGAAAGATTTTCACTTTCATATAGACAAATATGTTAATTTTTTTCCTTTATAGCTTCAAACTTTTTAGACTTGATAATGAGTATTTAATGATCTGATCTTCCCTTTAGATTTCTAATAAGAATAACAATTCAGGACTTTATATAGTTTCAATGTCTAAATAATTCGTATATTTTAACGTAAAAGACTTACATTAGGAAAATTAGTAATGGGATGGGCTATTGGTATATTAACAGCTCAGTTGGTAGAGTGCTTGCTTAGCATGTAGGAAGTCCTGGATTTGAACCCTTAATACCAAATAAATAGGACTTGGTGGTGCTTACCTGTAACTCCAGCATTGGAAAGGTAGAGGCAGTAGGACCAGAAATTCAAGGTCATCTTGGAACACATAGGAAGGTACAGGCCAGCCTTGGCTACAATGAAACCCCCTCAAAACAAAACAAAATCAAATAAAGCAAAATGATTTGTGGGTGTATACAAAGCATTTTATAGATGAGGAAATTAATTAATAAGCAAATGAAATGTAACCACTGTCACTAGAGGCTGAAAGAACAATGGGATAACACTTTGTCTCCAGGTTAAAACTGCAACACTTAGCTGGGTGGCGGCGGCGGCGGCGGCGGCGGCGGCGGCGGCGGCGGCG